TTTTCCCGCCCAGTGGAAATTAGGATTGAATCTGCCTATAGGCAGATTCATTTCCAATTTGGCTTGAAACTTCGCAAACAAGAAAGTTTTTTGGAGGAACTCCAATGGTCTTTGCTGAATGCCATTATGTTGTAAACGGGCGGCCGGAGGTTATCCAAGTGACGTGCGTAAAGGTGTGCTAAACTTTATTTCAGTTGTGTACATGAGGTGTTTCAGTGTCACTTTGTTTACGGATGTTTAGACTCTCTGCATTCCAATTTCTTCGCTGTTCCGTCTATTTCTGTCAAGATATTGGCAGAAATGTAACAGAGTTTTTATTTTCAACAGATACTTTTTAACTTATTTACTGTTATAATTTTGTTAATACTCAAAGAAATTTGTTGATTCTTTTTATTTGTAATCGGCATGTGTAGCTGATAAGAAATGTGTAAAAAAAATTGAGGTTACCGAGCAGTTGAGTGAAAAAAACACACTTTTAAGTGAGAAAGTCAAGAAATGTAATTGTCTTTCAACTTGGGAAACATTCAAAAATGATGGTGAAAAAATCAGCAACGTGGAAAAAAAAGGTAAAAGAGGGCGAAAACTAGCGTTTATTTTTTCCATATTCTTAGTACAAAAACAGCCCATTTTCTTACTGAAATTTAGAAAAACATGAAGGTACTTTATGAACATATTAAAGGATATCTTGGGGACTGCTCCAAGGATTAACATAAGACAGCGAAAAGCAGGGAGCTGATGTCAAAAAATCTGCAGTTTTCCAAAAATAAGCCACATAAATTCCGCTCAGTGTGACTTTGAGCGAGCATTTTATAAGTTGCTAGCCAACTGCATCACCGTAATTTTGGTTCCGCTCTGAAAGGATTTTCACACCAAGTCAGAAATGGCGCCGCCTGTAGGCGTTTTCATTTTCAAGTCGACCTCGCGATTCGCTACACTGTCAAGTGCATAAATTGTGTAGACAACACTTTGGTATTGTGCCTATTACTTCTCTGAGTGAAGTTGACTTTGAAAAAGTTGAATTTTTTGCCTAAATCGCTTTCCAAGTACTTTTTTTACACTTGTTACACTACATGCTATTTGTGTACTAAATTTATGCTTTTCAGTATAAGTAAAACAGTTTGCCGAAAATTGTAAGGCAGTCTTTAAACCGCCCAAGTTGTTTCGCCTGATACGTAGGCTTGTTTTAGGAGCTTTTCCGTGTATCCCTGCCGTTCACTCGCAGATACAGAGGTGCTGTTATGGTAGTCCAGGAGATGGGCTATCTTGTAATACTAGCACTTTTTGTATGAAACTACGGGTTTAAATTTTCAACCTGCAGCTTTTTTTAAGACTAAGACTTATCTGTAACTGTTTTTGCCTCCAGTTTATTTGTTTCCTGGTGTTGCGCATCCCGTTAGGTAGTTCGAAAAATGCGCTATCCATTGCTACCGATGTGCCTAGAGCATGAAGTTAACTTTATTTCAAAATATTATTCTTGTTATCAATACGTTCGTCGTCAAGCTCCGATAGTTGGTTTCATAGTTGAGCAAAACGGTCACAGACCGATAAAAAAGAAACAGCTTATTGTTAATAAGGTTTCAACAAATAAGACCAGACGAGTAGGCAGAGGGAAAGGAATAACGGCGGAAATATTCTGGACCTAAGTCCTCGTATTTTTGCTCAAAAAGTCTTTTACTTCTGCCTAGATATCCGGGAATAAAGTCTTCTCTTTTGCCTAGTGAAAAAAATTTAGAAGATAATGGTAGAGAATTACTGGGTTTCAAGAAAATTTCATTATTAGTAAAAGTGTTCCGTGTAGAATTTCTTGCTTTATTAAATACCACACATTGGTAATGTTCGGCGATAGTATGAATGTGGATGAGATAGATATGCTCGATAGGGGGTTGAAATTGCTAGAAAGCAACCTTGCTTTTGTACAGATAGTAAATTTCAAAGGAGAGGAATTCAAATTTTCAAACATATCTGGGTCTTATATTTTCCAAACTATCCCCCAGGATTTCGTTAAAAACTTACACATATTTGCTGGAATAGTTTTAGCTGTTCGGATATGAAGCTTGTTACTGTCGTAACTCCGGAAACGGCTTCCAGGTAGTCCTACAGTTGAGACCCTACAGTCGTTAGAAACCTTAAATAACAAGCAGTTGAAATTTACTAGTCTGAATAAGGGTAACCTGTTGTTTTTTTTTTTTTTTTTTTTTTT